GAGATGTACAAAAGCTGCTCACTTTAGTGGAATGGATCAAGGCAAGGGTGAAGATATTCATCTTTTCTTCTGGGACCAAAAATCAGTGGAAAATTATCCCTGAGAATGCTTTTGTTATTCATACTTCCAGGCATGGATAGTAAGCTGATTGCTCACAGAAATCTATTCAAACCATTGCTCAACTTATGACTCTGGTGCCCAAGCGCAGAGTTCTCTTCCCTGTGTCCTCAGCCATTTTACACCTGTGCAAAGCATGCAGCTGTGCTTAGCTCCTGTCCTCTCTCCTCTTGCATCTAAGCAAATCAAAACAGCTTATTTCAAAATAGCTTTTTAGCAGTCCTTTGCATTTCATTGATTAGCATTTATTCAGCTGTCTGGGTGCTGAACTAGACATAATAAATACTCCCACCCTTAGTTCTGAATACCCCTTCCCAAGATGTAAAGCACACTGTAATTGATAAATACATAGAGCCTGTTATCCATGCTCCCAGAGGCTGTTAAAACCTGGAATTCACTGTGCTTCAGTTCACACAATTCTGCTTTAATTCACCCCTCCATTAGAACACCCAAGCTATGACGAGGGTTGCTGCATGTGCTTCTGGGGTTGGATCTGCAGATATCAAAGCCAAGGGAAACACTGACACTGGATTGGAGACCAGCTCTGAGATTCAAGGATGCAGACCAGACTCTGTGGGATATATCTGTGGGATAGCTGTGGTAGTCTTTAAAAAAAATAAGAAACAGAACTTGGGGACAAGAAATTTGATTTTCAGAAAAATTAATCCTTGCAAATGTCTAATGGAGAACAAAGCAAGGGAAAAAAAAAAGAAAAAGAAAAAAAAGAGAACCTGGCTTCAAATCATGAACAAATATGTGAATTACCCATTCCTCAGTAGTTTTTATCTCCCCATTCATCCTTCCATTCTCCAAGGAGTTCTGGACTTCAATGCAGGAGTCTTCAGATGTTTCAAGAATATCAGGTGACAGCTGAACACAGCATTAATATTCTACCTTGTCGCCRAGAGAGCTGCAGAAATTGGAGGGGAGAGAGAAAAGTTCTCTGCCTTTCAATATGCAGCTAGTGTGTGATACCACAAGCAGAACAAAGCCCAGCCACAGAGGTTCACACCATGATTAATTCATATAAAGACAATGCTTCACAGAGCTCCTTCAGCACAGAGTGCACGGGATGGGAGGCTCTGATAGAAGTCATGCCGTGTATAATTATTAATGGTATTGTTAAAACTTTCATGTTGTTGTGTGCCTGATGAAGACGGTCGGGTCACTCATGCAAGTGCTAACAGCTCTCATTGCTAGCACTGTCGCTTTCAACTCTGAGAAGAAAAAAAATGAGTAGAAGAAATCTCTCCCACAATCTCCTTTTTATCTCGGGTTTTGCCCAAAGCTGTGCTTGGCACTTCGAAGTCAGGAGGTACTTGTGGTAAGAAATTTCGGGGAAGATGTCCATCTACTGCATTAAGGACTGCTCCCCAACACTCACTATCTTTATGATCATGGCAGCACCTAGRTCTACATCTCAAGTGAAAAAAACAGTGGCTTGGCCTGTTTTCTGACCCAAACAGCAAGCAGCAATGCCTGGCTCCTGTCCATGCTGTTAAAATCTCTTTCCCTTCAGATCAGGGTGGCACAAAGGATATTGATGCTCTGAAGCCCTCATTCCTCACCTGCACACTCCTCACCACTCCTCAATCTGAAGACCATGGTTCTGTGAAGACAATGGTTCTGTTCCCAAATACCCCTCCTGCCAACGAAACCATCGCACCTACAGGCATCCAGAAATGTTTTTTATAAAATAAGTATATACAGGAAATTGTTGCTCCATATCTGCSCCATCTCCACACTTTTCAATGAAAAACAGATCTTGGCATTATCACAGCCAAGGTACYAAGCTTGTTTTGTTCCCAAATAGTTGTTACTATGGGCTTAATTCTCACACTGAATGAATAGAAAGCTATGGAGGAGCACCCAGATTTTCAACGTGCTCATTCTTCTTTTATTCTGCCTCCATACAGCTGATCTGTCAGCCACACCAATATGGCACCATATGGAGGTGGGCACTGGGAAGTTTGGGGAGCTAGAGCTGGTTTATGTTAGGATCAACTATCTATCAACTATCAACTGTCAACTATCAACTATCCATGACGGGTCCCAGGTGGGAGTGTGTCTGCTCTCCAGCAGAGAACAGGRATTATGGGACTCGGGTCCTGACAACCTATGTGACTGTGGCCCAGTTCCTTCCTCTCTTGTGCCTCTGTTCAGAGTGCTGAGAGCAGGGTCTGTATCTCAGTGTATCTGAAGCACACCTAACACGAAGAAGCCCTCATTACATTTAGAACTGAAAGATTAGTGACTGCCCACAGAGTGCCAAAAGCTGGACCCAGTAATGAAATGATAACGTGAATGTTAATTAGAATTCTCTACCAGGAAAAAAGACAGACTCAGAAGAACTGAACATAAAAAGAAAATAACAAAAGTGCTGTCAAAATGTACCACGCTATTTTTAGCCTCCACTTATTTTCTAGCGGTGATAACATTGCATTAATATAGTGTCTTCTATATATTATTCAATTAGGGCTTCCAGTATCACTTGGAAATATTCTCTCCATTTTACAGATGTGAAAAATAGCATCTCGGCCAGAGAATGGCCAACTGGCTTGGCCAGGGACTGCGCCCAGGTTTTGGAGAGTCCTCCCTTTCTTCCAGCCTTTGCATTGACTAGCAGGAAAGCTTAGAAAACATGCAACATCTGTATTTGATGCTTTGCTGGTCACTCCATAGTCCTGTTGATGCTGCCTTCATTTCTGTCTTAACCCCACGCTGTGGTTATGTTATGTGTGGCTCCATAGCATGGAGCTTCCATATGTGGCTTCCATAGCATGGCTCAACATGGTTGACCTCCCAAGTGAATTGAGCAGGAAAAAACAATGTGATCAATCAGTATTAATGAGCACAGCCCAATTGTTTATAAGCTGTTCCTATGTTTCAACCACTGTCTTTGATCTCCTACGCAGATGAGTGCTGGCTTTAAGTCAAAATGCAAACTGCATCATGTTTACTGGGGCTCAGCATTTTGTCCCTGTGCTGACAACGGACCAAGTGAAACGACTACATGGTGCCAATGTACTGATTTATTGCATAGAATCGGTCAGCAGTGACTGCCTCGGAGTATTTGCAAGGTGCTCCAAGGCGCAATGCTCATGAAGAGCTGATGATCATAAACAGAAAACCAAGAGGCTTTTTTTTGTTTGTTTTGGGGGCATTTTGTTTTTTTCAGGGGGAAGGATTTCTGTACAAGTGTGAAATTAAGGGCAGAGTTCTTTAAAAAAGCTGACAACACACATGCGGCTATTGCGGTACTGAAATATGTGGTTAGATTCCCAAAAGCACACGGGAAACCTCTGACAAGTGGAAGCTTTCTGAGGTTTCACCTGCTATAGCTGAAACCTGGCCAATAAAACTTACTGGAAAATGAGGTGGGGGGGAAGAGCTCATGCAAAACAGTCCACTCTGTCAAAATACTGCAGGGCTGAGCACATCCCTTTTGGTAGCAGCTCTCTGACGGTTAAATTGCATATTTTAGAGGGAGAGTAGATTACTTACAAAAAAAAAAAAAAAAGATTTCAGGATTATTTTGAGCAACATCAGAGTTTTTCTGAGTGTGTTGAAGATTGTCTGTATTTGTACAATGCCTAAAGCTGCTTCTCTCTTCCTGCTCCAGCCACTATGGAAATAATGAGAATAACGACACCACCAGCCATGCAGTGTATGTTAATGATCACATAGTCAAGCGAGAAATGGTTGCATATTGCTGGGAAAGATGCAGGGGAAAACAGGGAAATTAAGATAGGACAGAAAGATATAGTGATAGCTATTTTAAAATACAGGACAAACTGGCTAAATCTTTGGTGAAAGAACATGACCTTGCTGGCCCGTTATATTAGACGGTCAAYAGAGGAAGTAGATGGTGAAGAATGGTTGGGAAAACAGCATGTCCAGGGGAGAGTTTGGGCTTTTTTAGAAAAATTGTCAAGGAGAAGGTGGAAAGCCATGAATGAAGATGTGGGTGCTGAAGAGAAGGGTAGTATGTACCAGTAGGAGGGAAAGAATGGTTTCTTAATTAAGCTTGGACTTCCTTAGTTCAGCTTCTTGAAACCAAGTGCTATTCAATGAGTGTTATCAGCCAGGGTACCAGTAGTGCCATTAAGCATGAATTTCAAGGATTACTTGCCCATGCCTTGGTTTCTTTTCAATTATTGACATTGAATTTCCTTTGCTGTTTTGTAAACAACTTAATACCATGAGATCCTTCCACCACTCCTCACCTAACTACAATTAAGATTTGACCATCCTGAGCAATTATGTATCATGTGCAGTCCTACCTATTTATCTACTCCTTTTCTTCCTTAAGCCCCTTATGCATCATGTAGCTCAGGTCAGCGAAGGAAAATCTGCTGTAACCTCCTTGTGCTGTGAAAAGCAAATATTTACTCCCCGCCTTGAGTTGCTTATGAATATCCAGCCTGCCTGACCCACTTTTGCTTTGATGGCTTTTATGATGGATCATGCCTACTACATTTTTAAAGAAACATAGACTGGATAAAACCCACTGTTTTCTAGAGTTCTCCAAAGAAAGCTAACAGATCTGACAACGTGAAACTTGTGATTCTTCTCTGACATCTCATATCTCTTCTTGTGCCTGCTGTTGTGCTGTAGCTCCAATTAGTCCCATGCAACTGGTTGAAGACCCTTTGTTTGCCCCTTCCACCCCTCTGGTGTAAAACTGGTTCATGCAGTCAGAGTGCAAGAGTAGTTCAGCGCTGACATATTTCAGTGCCGTGAGAACTTTTGGGTGGATTCTCTCTGTTTCTTGTAATACGATAAATAAATAACAAAAATAACCAACTAATACAATTTCAATTTCCATTTATTCACAAGCATGCAACACTGACTGAATTTTTGCTGGCTATTTACATGCAAAAAAATGGTTCTGGGTTTTCTTTTCTTCTTAGATCATCTCAGTAGCCAGCTCAGCAGGACTGACAGAGTTGCTGTATTCATGCAAGAAACCTTCCAGCGAGATGACATCTCTGTTCTTGGTGAGTCACATCACTCAGCCAAGATAACCTTTGGTTATTTCTCTGCTGCTCAGGTCAGGCAGACAGATCCATCAGACTCCAGCATCAATGTGTTAGCCTCTTTCTTCCTCCGGGGGAAGTGGGATTTTCAGTTGGTCACATCTGTTTTCTCCTTCCATCAGTCATGTCAAGCATTCACCTCAGTTAGCCATGGTGCCTGCTGATGTGTGGGATAAACTCTGCAGGACAAAAACTACAAAAAAAAAAAAAAAAAACCTCTTAATACTCACTGAAAATAGTTAATATATAAAATAAAATTGTAAGAGGTATTTCAGAGGACATCTCCTACTTTGGTGAAGTGGGTAATGTTAGTCACTGAGTTCAGTCACGCAAGTCCTGTGTCTAAGTGTAAATTACGATATCTTTGTGGAAAGTCTGTGGAAAGCATCCTTTGCTGAAGTTTATATTCCTGTTATTTTCAATTATCTGAACKATTTGGACTTTTAAAAATACTTTTAATCCTTATTATTAAAATAATGAATAATGCCTGCCTCTCAGAGCTAAATGTGAGGGGAACTGCTAATATATTCAGTTATTTGTAATTTGAATAGTTACTAGGTTTACTTTTTGATCTTCTGAAAATCTCACCAAAGGCTGGGCAGGACAGGGAAATGGAGAAAGGCTGGAATATCCCTCCTAAGCTGGTACCCCAACTCAGCCTGGTTTCTTATGGATGATTAATAGCAGATTTTGGCCTGGAAAGAAGTTGCTGTTCTCATTACTGCAGGAGCCAGAGAGATTCACTCTCTGTCACTTTAAAGCAATAGTTTCGCACTGGAGTAATCACCTTCCAAAAAAGTGCTGAAGAATCTGCTCTGCCTTGTCCATCAGATATGAGCTCAAAACCAAGAGAGCTGAAAGAATGAGCGCCACAAAAAGCAAATGCTCCAAAGAAATCACCTGGAAATAACTGCACTGAAAATACTGACTATCGACTATGGCATGTGGCTGTAAAAACATAACATAAACATGGGGGAAAAAAAAGAAAATGTAGCCATTTTAAACCATGCTATAATAGAAAGAAAACAATCTTGGTTCTGAAATTCTTAAAATTCATCGAAGAAAACCAAAGAAAATGCTGCATAAGAGGTGCAGCATTTTAAGCAGATTTCATGCCCAAAATGCAAAAAACAAATTTCAAGCTCAGCAGAAATAAGAGTTTGGTGCCAGAGGAACTTCCCTGATTAATTCCCCACTAACAGGAAGCCGCATTTTAAAACAAGCAGAAGCCTTATCTCCAGTCTGAGTAATTTCACACCTCCAGAAGTGACCATTTGATCTTTAGTGTGACCCAAAATGTACAGGCTCATTAAGACTAACACAGCATTGGTGGATAGTCAGTAGCAAAACTTTCTCAGCCTTCCATAACTGTAGGTTTCTGTGCAACACAAATGCTGACACAAATGCTAGATGACATTGCAAGCATGCACAGGCTTGAAGTATTCCTCAGCATATGTGAAAGCGATTTTTAAGACTGGCAAAGGCAGCTTTATTCCATGCCAAAAGGAGTCCTACGAAGTATTTTTCCACTGGGTAATGATGCTGATGGCCTAGAACTTGAAGCATTTGTAAGCTCCAGGTCCCTGAAGTAGAGAAGGACATGAGAAAACATTGAGAGACAGAAAACACCCAAATAGCAGCTATGTCCTCTCTCCTGCCTTGTTCAAGACTCTCTTGGAGAGGAAGGACAGGAGCTGAACTACTCAGACCTTGTCATGACTGCAGACACTGTGTGTCCCACTGCTGTCCCAGCCCAGGCCATGGGAATGGAAGGGCAGAACTAGTGATGCTGGGGGCAAATATTGCTGCAACTAAGTCCTGGAGCTGCCAGTCKGTCACAGCAAATTTACAAGCCACAGTGCTGCATTAGGAAAAAGGAAAAAAAAAMMMCATATCTCTGATCTTATGTAACAAGTCCTGAGAGGTGCATTGCCGTATAAGCACAGTTAAAATCCATCAGGCAATAGCATGAAACGCTTAGCACTTGGATGCATGCTTCTGTTTGCCCCTGTTTAACAACCATCCTGGGATAGGCACCGTAGGGAAGGAAGAAAAAGAGCAAACTGTTCTTATAAAAAACCTCCGCTCCTCTACTAGTCCTAGTTGACTCCAGCACTCACCTGGATTCCAAGCCTCAACATASAGTTTAGCTTAACGCAGCGCTGAGGACATGTCCGTATGCTGCAACCAGTGCTCCACTACCCGCACAATTGCAGAGTTTGAATCTAGGGACTGGGGAGGGAGGCAGTTCTGAGGCAGAACCAAGAGAAGCAAAAACGGTGTCTTGGTCCAGACCAGAGCGTGTGTCCTACACAGACTGCTCAGGTGCAAGCTTAATTCCTGGAGTACCACCTTCCTTCCTGCTGTCCACTTGAACGCTCTGTAGTGTTCAGAAACAGAACRCTCTATCATAGCCTTATCTTCTGCAAATAAACCCTCCATGAACCCAGAAGTCCATGAAATGTCGTTGGATGTCATGTTGTGCATTAGAGATAAAGTCCACTATGACACAGATAGGTCTGAAATCAAAATCCCACAGGGAATATAAAGCCAACTGACACTGAAGTTTCCTACAAATATAGATACTTATATAGATACTTATCTCCACTGTTGTGATGGAGTCTCTGAAGGTGGACTGAGCACTTTCCCCTACATCCAGCCAGTACTTTGCCATGTTGGATATCAAATCTTCACTGCAGAAGTGACTGAGATGACTTCACTGCAGAAGTGACTTTTCCACTGGTGGAAAAGATTATGTAACAGGAACTTCAGTTCTGCAGAGAAGCTGAGCATGACACTTTCAACAGGACTATAAACCTACACTGTTGAATTAGCCACACTCACACTTTTGTGATCTGCTTTGGAGAGCTGAGGGACCTGGCAAAGTCCCAGCTGAGTAGAAAGGGGGCACCATGTAATCACTGCTGATGGCAAAGGTCCACTTTCAYACTGCAGCAGCTATTGCCCAATCACATCATGCTGTGTTTCCTGGAATGTTATGCCTACTTTCTCTGGCCAAAATTCAGCTGCTGCTGACTCATAAACACCACCCAGAGCAATTCACTTTCTCTGGTGATTGATCAACCATGGGTGCTCTGTGTCCTATGGCTATTGGCAGAGAGACACCAGAAACTCAGCTGCCCTTTTTTCTGCCTTTAAAGATATGAAACGTGTTTAGATTGCATAAATGGAGAGGCATTAGAAAAGGCACCAGCAGCCTAAATAAACTGCTGAACATAACACATGATCTTCACATAGATACAAAAGCAAGACAGAAGATTTCCCTTTGCTGTTGCAGCTCAAACCCAAGCAGACTGCAACCTTTGCTGTAGCCTGGCTCTCAAGCAAGGTTTCAAGCAACCCAAGAATATATAATGTCAATTTGATCACATAAAATATGCAAATGATGTAGGTTTCTCCRGTGAGCTGGCACAGCATGGGGAATCCACACACAAATGCTTCATGGCTGAAGCTCTCTCACTCAGTGCCCTGTTTTTTGAAATCAGACCAAGATTCAAAATGCAATATCCTAAAAGTTAATGCCGAATGTGCACATTAACAGTAGACTCACTGAGGATCCATTAAAGAAATTAGCAGTCTTGTACCGAAGCAATTTTTTTTGGACAACTGTCAGCCAGATAGACCCTGAAGGACATCTATAGCCACATACACATACATACTGACTGGGCTTCATGCATGAAGATCTGTGTAAACTTATCCTCTAACTTCCTGGTGTGAATATGTGAATCCAAGATGTGGAAATCCCAGAGGAGTGACTGAGGCTGGAGACTTTCCCCAGAAGTTGCTAATAGCATTTTTAAGTAATAAGGCAGCATGATTTTACTCGATACAGATTGCAAAGCAGTCAACAAGGCTTGAGGCGTCTGTGTTGATCAGTTAGCAGCTCACATTTCTGGATGACGCACACTTGAGTTCCTCCATCCCTGCTGCCAGAACTCTGAAGCTCATCAGCTGCACAAGCCCAAACAGATGTCCTAAGAAGTGGCTGAGGCCTTGTGGTTAAACTTCTCTGACTTGGTTATATCAGGTGGTCAACAGTTTGTCTATTCCTGATGGCAATATTTAGAGCCAAATTGTACTCACAGGTCACTGAGGAACAAGCTCAAGTGAATCAAGGAAGCCAGTGAATCTGCTAAAACTCCAGTTGGCACTTGAAACACCATGGTTTGAAGAAACCAAGCGGTGAGATTTTTCAGCAGTAAAGGAGGGGTGGGAGAAGAAAGGTCCTCTCACACACCAAAACCACACACTCCACCAATGTGAGAATGCCTCAATGTTTCTCACGTTTGATTTTCTGGCAAATATTTTCCTTGATACTTCAGATGTTCACAAGGATGAAAGGCAAGAATTTCTCAGGGATTTTAACAAGATGTTTGAGTACCATCTCCTCCCACCATTCCAACTCGTCCTAGTAATGAGCCTATTTGGTTTTCAGTGCATCCCAGAAAATTATTCTACTGAAATTCCTCACGTACTTAGAGAAATATATCAGGCCCTGATTATGGTGGAAGAGGAGGGSTTTGGGCAGAGAAGGAAGATGAGGTAAAGATAAACTGAACCTAAACTCACCCAAATTCAGGGCCTCTGAAGTCCCTCTCCTAATCTGGGAGAAGAGGAATAAGTATGTAGGACAGAGAGACCAAGCAGACCAAGCTTATGGGACATCTGTCTCATTTCTCTCTTCATGCTAAGCCAATTGTTCTTACTTTTTATGGTTTTCAATAAGCAGCTTCCTTCAGCAAACTTCAGCCTAATTTTGTGTTGCTGGCCTGCTCTGAGGTTACATTCCACTTTGGATGCAATAACTCTGCTTTGTCAACTGTCCTGAGTGAATTGTGCTGATTTTTGCAGCTGGTGTGCTCAGTATAGCCTGCTCTATATATTTCTCTTGCTGATTGCTAGAAAATGTCCCTATGGGAGCCTGCTCTGCATATCCCTGGAATAACGCGATTTGCGGGTAAAAGAACTGACAAAACAGTCATTGTTTGTATATTATGATGATCCCTCATGTATGAAGTACTGACAGAAATCGCAAAGCTTGAATGCGTCTTGATACTTTTCTGGAGTTACACAGATATGTAAGAAAGAGGAGTGTCACTCTCTCATTTATCCCTGATTTATAGCACAGGTAGATTACAAGGGGTGGATAATGCTGACAGAATAACTGGCTGAAGGCAAGAGGCATCTAATGGAAATAAGTTATTTTGTAAGGACAGATTTGCACTGATCAAGAAAAGATAAATATATAAAACACCTATAAAAGTAAAGTATTTGTACTTTGTCAAAAAAAAAAAAAAGGAGGAAGGGAAAAGAAAAGGATCAGACAATTAAAATTTAAAAAAATAGCAGGTGATAAAGTGTCTTGCATTGGTCAACCCCATGAATGTAGAAGGAAGCTACCATTTTGAAGTAGGTTCATGTAAAACAAACTCAGGGCAATTTTTTCTTCATTTTCTAAGGAGCTGTCAAGCTAGAAGACTCCTGTCTTAGCTATGGAATGGAATGGAATAAAATAAAATAAAATAAAATAAAATAAAATAAAATAAAATAAAATAAAATAAAATAAAATAAAATGGGATAATATTCAAAGTTGCCTAGAGATTTGGGCACCAGTGTCACTTAGATCAGAAGGAAATCTTGTATAAGCTTTCAAGGTACTAAAAAAAATATGCAAAAAACTTGAGATGTGTCTCATTCAAATTGATTTTTTTTTTAATTTCTATGAGCAATTTTTCCTACCTGATATTCAGAACAGAAGAGCATAAAAAACGGAAGCTTTCTTCACTGAAAACTGTGAGCCTTCTTCCAAAAATATCCTCCAAACCTGGGCTACCTCAATTTTCCCTCAGTGACAATGAGAAACAATGGAACAGCTGAGCATTGTGGGAAGAGGTTGGATTTTCTATACAGAAGTTTAATGAAAACAAATGCCTGCTGAAAAGAAAAACAAAAAAAAGCAAAATAAAAATGCAAACGATTTCTGCTCAAAAAAGATTTTAATGGAAAGTTTTATTTTATCATTTCTTAACTAAGGGCCAGATGGTGCCTGTAAAGCTCAACCTTGAGTAACAAATGGTATGTAACTTCCAGAAATTTCCACCTGAGAAATGGAAAAAAAAAAAAAAAACCCACAAAAATCGCAGTCAAATTAGTCAAATCAGTCAAATCAGGAAGGGGTGGCTGTGGAGAGTGCACATGAGCTTCTCATGCCAATGCAGTGAGAAGACAGCATGCCCTGTATCTCTGACAGTTTAGAATGCTGTGGACACTCAACACTGGTCATCCCTGATCAGACCAGAAGTCAGTCCATCTCCAACATCGTGCCAAAAGCAGGTGCTGAGGGAAATCACCAAGAGCTGGGCAAACATGGTGACACTTCTCCTCACCCTGTGCTATCCTCCAGCCCTTTGAAGCTCCAAGCTTCCATGAACCAGATACAGTTTCTAGTTTTTCAACATATCCAAATGCTTGAACTCATTCAACATGTTCAGCACTGAACAGCTCCTCCACAGTCCTCTCCCATCCCCTCCTGTGTTTATGAAAGCAGTGACATCAGCAGCATCTTCCAGTAAACCTGCTGCATGGTGAAGCTTCTTAGATTCATTTGATGTCAGCTGTGATAGACAGAAATAACCCCAAAATGTGAGCAAAAAGCAAATATTGTCAGGAAGCTCAAAAGGGGAGGGSAGGGCAATGCACTCTACGACTACTCTCGTCCTGCGCACATAAAGAGCCATTTCTGTCAAAACAGATCTGCAAATATTGCTGATGAGTTTAGTTACAAAAGGAGTAGGATATAACAGCTACTATGTTTGCCCACTTGGAACAAATCAGGAGCAGGCTATTAAATATTTAACCTTCCAAATTTAATTTGTTAAATCTGCTGGGAGGAGTTTTTAGATTGCTTGTAGAGTGTTCTGGGAGCGGTTCCAGGTCAGCAAGAATGTCAGCCCCACTTCCCCTTACTCTGGAGCAGAAGCCCTTTTTTTTTTTTTCAGGTCTCCCCTTATAAAACCAATGTCTTAGCTCCCCAGCTGGCTGTAAATCCAAGTCTCTGCAGAACAGGGAGCTGTTCTGATTTACACAAGCTCAAGACCTGGTCCTCTAGTTCAGAAGAAATGGGTTGCCAGTTTAATTACTTCATCCCAGGTACGACATTAATAATGTGGGAATAAATTTGATGCTCCTAAGCAATACACAGAAGTTTGACACATGCATGACAATTAATGTGTGGTGCATGATATATCTGCTTCTCCCAAGTTCCCTTTTAAATGATGCTTCTTGTGATTTGAATTTCAAAGAGCACTTCTCCTAGTATTTCTCATTAT